TCTGCCAGGCTTAAAAGGAGCCTTTTTAGAGGCAGAAGGGGTCTCTCTGACTGCTGGCTGAGAAAGACGTGCTGCTGAGAGAAACGTGCTCCTGAGAGACATGAGAGACACATGCTGCTGAGAGAAAAGCATGAGAGAGACACACTCCTGAGAGAGCAATGTGCTACTGAGACTGCCAGCTGCTAAGTGAGACGGCCAGCTGTGAGGGACTGGGTGCATTTCTGAACTTCAATTGTGGCCTATTGCTTCCCTAATAAGCCCCATAATCTGTGAGTTCTGTGTGGCCACTGCAGCAAATTACTGAACCCAGCAGAGGTAGTGGGTGCTGCGGAAGGAACGGTTGGTGTCAGGGTTGGTGAGAGGGTAGGAAGGAGGAGGCTTGTCTGGCCTTGCAGGCATAGGTCTTGGGCTACTGATGGTGATTCTGCCTTCCTCTTGTGGGGTTAGAGGAGGTCAGAAGATACGCCCTCCCTGCCCTTTTGGCAGATGGCTAGGGCTGAGCTGACCAAAATGCAACCAAATGAAGAGGAAGATGTTTGACACTGAGCTGGTGTTAAGTTGCTGTTATTTGATGGCTTGCACTGGGCTGGACTTTGCTTATATATGGATGCAGATGTCTAAAGTTCCAAGAAAAACAGAAGATTCTTCAGAGAGAAAGGAACATGCTTGTCTCCTCAGAGTACTGGTATAATAGGTGTGATAGTTGGAGCTGTGTGTCAACTTGACTGGACCATAATTCTGTGTGTTTTAAGCAGTTGTGATGTGGGTTATTCCCATGATGGGATCAGATGTATATGTTTTGAGCAGCCAATCAATTGAAAGGGAGTTTCCCGAGGGGTATGGCCTGCTTCCAATATATTTATGGACATCCTAGGAAAAGAGACACTCTTCTATGGATCTGGATCCTGTTATGCTGCCTACAACTGTCCACGAATGAACAATCCACCATTTGGCCTGGAAATCTTGGCTCTGTCATTTGTTGGAGTTAACAGCTGGTATACTGCCTGCCACCTTCAGCTTATCAGCCCCTGCAGCTGCATGAGTTGGGAAGAACCTCCAGCTTGATGTTTGATCCAAGAACTTGGGACTTGCCAGCTTCTATAAGTGTGTGAACCACTTTCCTAAGATAAATTTCTCTTTCTCTATATGTATATATATAAGCTTTACTGGTTTCCTTCTCTAGAGAACCCAGCCTAACACCATAGGGATGGGCAAATTAGAAACTGGCTATTTAAAATGGGGTGAGATAAAAGCATGAAGTGGCTAGCTTACACGCTTTCACGGGTGTGGTTATTCTTAAACCGATGGTGAAGGGGATGTTAATTTTGAAATATCAAAGGGATAATGGCTAGAAAAACTAGGAGATGGCCTGTGGTGTAGTAAAATACATGCTATGGCTTTTCTAGCCACAGTCTTTGTAACTTCCACCAGATTACTGAAACTCCTGATTGTTAAAGTCATCAACCTGGGGCAGCAGGAAGTAATCTTCTGGGAAAGTTCACTTGCTCTCTCAGGTGTGTAGAACTCTGATGCTGGGATTGGTTCATTTTGCCACTCTGCCAAACTCAAAATGAGCCCTCCTAGAGGCAGAAGATATCTCTGATTGCCGACTGAGAGAGACAAGCTGTTGAGAAAGATGTACTGCTGAAAGAGAGGCTGTCGGCTGAGAGAGACTGAGCGTGTTCTTGAACTTGAATTGTAGTCTGTTGGCTTCCCTAATAAACCGCATAATCTGTGAGTTCTGTGTGGCCACTGCAGCGAATTTTTTAACCCAGCAGAGAGGTGGTGGGTGCCATGAGAGGGATGGTTGTGTCAAGGTTGATAAGAGGACTGGAGGGTGGCAGCCTGTCTGGCCTCATAGGAAGAGGCCTGGACTGGTGATGGTGATTCTGTCCTACTCTTGTGTAGTAAGAGGAGGTGAAAAGATGCTGCCTCCTTGCCCCTTTAGCACCAATCCTGATTCCATCAACATTCTTTAAAGATATGGTAAAACCAATCACTGATTTTATATGGAAAGGAAAGAGATCTCAAATAAGCAAAGCACTACTGAAGAACAACAACAAAGCAGGAGGTCTCACACTCCCAGATCTCAAAACCTACTATACAGCCACAGTAGTCAAAACAACCTGGTATTGGTACGACAGACACACAGACCAGTGGAACAAAATTGAGAGCCCAGAAATGGATCCATCGTCCTATGGTCAGCTGATCTTTGACAAAGGTTCAAAATCCATTCAATGGGGAAGAGACAGTCTTTTTTAACAAATGGTGGTGCCAAAACTGGATATCCATTTGTGGAAAAATGAAATAAGATCTGTACTTCACACCATACACAAAAACTAACTCCAGATGGATCAGAGACTTAAATATGAAACCTAAAACTATAAAGTTCATCATGGAAAAAATAGGGCAAACTTAGGGGCCCTAATTTATGGCATAAATAGACTATCAAGCATAACCCAAAATACACAAACAGCAGAAGAGAAACTAGATGACTACGATCTTCTGAAAATTAAATTCTTACATGCATTCAAAGACTCCTCCAAAAGAGCAAAAAGAGAACCCAGAGATTGGGGAAAAAATATTCATCAATGACATAATGGACTAAGGACTGATCTCTAAAATTTTATTAAAAAAGTCTAATACCTCAACATTAAAAAGACAAACAATCCAATTTAAATAATGGGCAGCAGACATGAACAGACACTTCACCAAAGAAGATATTCAGGCAGCCAAAAACCACATGAAGAAATGTTCATGATCATTAGCCATGTTGTTGTTGTTGTTGTTGTTATGTGCTGTCAAGTCGGACCTGACTCATAGTGACCCCTCCTTGGGTTTCCGAGGCAGTATCACTACAGAAGTAGATTGCCCCATCTTCCTTCCAAGGAGTGTGGCTGGTGGGTTTGAACCGCCAACCTTCTGGTTAGCAGTCAAGTGCCTTTAGCCACTATGCTACCAGAACTCCCCATTAGCCATTTGTTGTTGTTGTTATGTGCCGTCAAGTTGGCCCCGACTCATAGCGACCCCTCCTTGGGTTTCCGAGGCAGTATCACTATGGAAGTAGGATTGCCCAACCTTCCTTCCGAGGAGTGGCTGGTGGGTTTGAACCGCCAGCCTTCTGGTTAGCAGTCAAGTGCTTTAGCCACTATGCTACCAGAGCTCCATTAACCATTAGAGACATGCAAATGAAAACAAGATACCATCTCACCCCAGCATTAATAGCAAAGTTCAACAAGACAGAAAATAACAAATGCTGGCGAGGATGTGGAGAGATTGGGACTCTCATACACTGTTGATGGGACTGTAAAATGATACAACCACTGTGGAAAGCAGGATGGCAATTCCTTAAAACGTTAGAAACAGAAATACCGTATTATCTAGCAATCTCATTACTAGGTATATATCCTAAAGAAGTGAGAGCCAGGACATGAATAGATACACCCATGTTCATCACGGCACAATTCACAATAGCAAAGAGATGGGAACAACCTAAATGCCCTTCAATGGAGGAATGCATAACCAAACTGTGGTACATATATACAATGGAATACCATGCAGCACTAAAGAATAATGTAGAATCTACAAAACATTGCATAACGTGGATGAACCTGGAGGACACTATGCTGAGTGAAATAAGTCAATCACAAAAGGACAAATATTGTATTAGTCCACTATTGTAAAAAGTCAAGGAAAGGTTCATACCTGGAAGGTAACTTTCTTTGTTGGTTACTAGGGATGAGAGGGGAGGGGGGAGGAAATTCCTAGCTAGGGGTGTGTGTGTGTGTGTGTGTGTGTGTGTGTGAAATATATATTATATACATATATAGATACATGTATATGTGTGTGTGTGTGTGTGTGTGTGTATATATATATATATATAAAAAATACCAAAGATTATAAGTAGTTACCAGGGGAGGGGGGAGGGGGAAGGGAAAGGGAAAGCTTTTGCTTGCAGGTTTGCAGGATACTGAGTTTATGATAATGGTGGTGGAATATTTTGGAAAACAGCAATAAGGGTGGCACAGCATGAAAAATGTCAGCAATATCCCTGAGCTATAAATGTAGAAGTTGTTATGTTGGTGAATGTCTTGTTGTGTATGATTTCACCACAATAAAACTTAAAAAATAAAATAAAGATCTCCATGCACTTAGAAATCTGCCATTAAATACAAAACAAATCACCCCTTTTTTTTTTTTTTTTTTTTTTCAGCATCTAGAATATAAACTCCTGAGGACAGAAATCTTGACCAGCTTGCTAACTGGCTGCATCTGCATTTCCTTGCACAGTGCCTGCCACACAGGTAACATTCAAATATCGACTAAATGGAAGGATACAATACCAGATTCAAATCCATAATCAGAATTTGCCAGTGTTAGGTTAGGCTCCCTGGTTTATGGCATTGGAAAATCACAGTTCTGACTTAATCCTCTTGATATGTACTATGTTCCAGCAACTGTCTACAAATGACCAACTGTTAAAAGATACAATCTACTATGTGAGGACAGATTCTTCATACCAAACCAACAAATGGCAACTGATTGAATACAGAAGCAGACAGGAGAATTTAGCTGTCTACCATTAATTTTACCATTAATTGAACCTTAAAGAGTCTGCAAAAACATAAAACAATGCTGGTTCTTCCCATGATATTTTTGGCTTAAAAATATATTTATGCTAGTATGTAGTGGATCAGTATTTTAAATGAATGAATAAATATGTTTCATTAAAAAAGAAAAAAAGCTATAGTCTGAAATTTATAAAGCTTTACAAATGTACAAATTCTAAATTAAAACCAGATTAACTATTAGTATTGTTTCTGTGTTAACTTCTTAGTTTTGATCATTATAGTGTGGCTCTATAAGATGTTAGTTAACAATTATTACAGAAGTTACATCAAGGGCATATGGGAGCTCTTATTAATTTTGCAGATTTTGTTAACCTAAAATTATTTCAAAATGAAGTTAAAAGTTAATGATTTTAAACTAGATATACTTACTGCACCAAGTGATGGCCCATATCTTCCTGTGGCAACTTTGCATACATAGCTGACAAAATTGGAAATAACACCTGAGAAATAACACATGTCAGTAACTTCAGTGAGGTATAAAAAAATCCATTTCTGATCTCTACCCCCACAAACTAATAGTGTCAGGTTTCTCTCTGGATCACTATGAGGGTACAGGCATGAATACTTATGCTGCTATCACTTCAGATATTTTATAGAGAAAGAAAAGTCTTTCACTTACTGGGTGACGTAGGCCATTCACTGTACCTCTGAGATATAATTTCTCCTCATGTATAAAATAAAGAAAGGAGATCTGTTCCCAAACACACCAGCTGCCTCCAAATGCTCTATGCCATACTCCAGACACACTAAGTGGAATCTCTGAGTGGCATCAGGGACTCTATATTCCACCCAGCTCCCAGAGGACTGCTGCACAGCGAGGCCTGTAAGACATGGGACTAGATGATCCTTTACAGACTCCCTTGGTTCCAATGTCATTTGAACTGGACCTCCACCTGAGTGTGGCTCATTTTAAAAAACAACTTCCTATGCTGCAGGAACTAATGGCATCTGAGAACAGATACTTTGTACCCATAACAACATAACCAGCATTGGGGACAGAATTACCCACTGACCTTACAAGCTAAAGATATTGTTCAGCTTCTACTTTTGAGGGACTAGATGCACACAAATATTCTATTAACCGTGAATAAGTATCCACTCTGGGCCTGTGATCAATGCTTTTATTCAATCCTTTCTACAACCCCTTGCTATGAGAAGGTAGATATTATTATCCCAGAGAGGTTCAGTCTCATGTGCAACATCACACGGCTGGTAGCAGAAATAGGTTCTGAACCCAGGTCTGCCGTCTCCAAGCTCAGTGCTTTTTTTTTTTTTTTACAACAACATAAGTGCCAGATATGCTGTTTTTAAATGCAGGGATTTTAGGGATACATTTTTATACTTTGCTTTAAGTAACTCTGCAAACAGATTGTCTGAATTAGGGTGATTCTTCAAGGCATTTAATGTTTTCCTTTTGTATTAAAGTTCATCTACATAAGCATCTTTTCCCCAAAGGATCTCAGGTTAAAAATGCTAAGCTTTACTTATAAATAAGTAAGTAAGTAAAAACTGACCAATCAGACAATTTGGCATCCAGGGACCTGGAATTGTGCATACTACTTGTAAGAAATGATGCCATCTCCAGGACTAAGAAGTAGCTCTATGCCAGCCATACAGCTTACAGAAATGACAGAATAAACTCATTCTTGACAGTGTCTTTGGTTAGCTGTGTTAAACCTTCCTGGCCATTCAGCACACTGGGGGAAATGAGCTTGCTTAAGGTTATTCACCAAAGACCCAGATGTTTGAAGCAGATGAGAAGTCTAGGAACCACTCATCTATAAAATGGCAGGAATGAACTAGAGAAATCAAGGCCCAGTGAGATAAAAAAAGGTATGCTTAAACTCTCCACTAACCTACACCCCTACCTGTTGTGACTATCTGAAAACTAGGCTCATGCAAAAACTCAAGTAAGAGGAAGTCAGCAAGATGAGAAATAAGGCAAGAGCCCTGCTACTCTACTGTATGCTTCTCTACATGCAACCTGAGATACATATGTGCACAGAGCATATGCTGTGTGGGAACCAGCTGGGTCATATCCTTTGTCCCTTCTCCAGATAGGTGAGGAGCTTGTACTCTGAGGCACCCAGGTTAAAGGGACATTACCTGCTGACAGGTACACTGCCATGAACTGCTCTTGACCCAGAATATTTACTATGCTGGAGGAGAAGCTCCACAAAACATACATGTTTGCTGCCATATGAAACAAGGAGAAATGACTAAACGTTGACAGCAACATTGGAGAACAAAGGACCTCTACAAGAGAAAGAGAAACACAGGCTGGTAATCATGGGACACATGGCCAGTAAAAATTACTATCTATATTAGTGTCTTTCATTATTATTAATAAAACAAATCAAACATAAAAAACAAAAACATTCACTTAAAAACCAAATAAAAAATGCATTTTTCAAAGTGGTACAAAACTGTCTTACATTTCTAATTAGTATTAAAAAAATACACTTAAGCAACCAATAAAAGTTCTCAGTTCAATGAAAGCAACTTGGCCGTATAGCAAAAATTGTTACAAAAAAGAGTACGTGTAGTTTATTTCAATCACAGACATGAATTTATATATAATATTCTCTTCAAAGAGTAAACTTATAGTGACCACGGATCTTAATTCATTAAAAACGTTTAAATACCTAATACACAGAAGGCACTATTTTAGGCAACTGGGACCTAGCAGTCAGAATGATGAGGTGCCTGTCCTCAAGAAGCACACAGCCTAGCCTCTGGATTTTGCTCGTAATTGATGACAAATAGCTCATCTTTTTTCTATAGCATCTGAATTAATATATAGAATATTTCTTTCGTATTACCTCTATCTCAAAATACAATCACAGTCATTTAGACTTACTGGAGGCTGGATTGGATGTGAAATATCTGATCATTGTCCGCTGTAGAGAAGGTACTCTCCATAAACAAAACACCATGACATTTGCAGCTATGATACCTATAAAATAAACATTTAAAATTTAGGGAAGCTAAAAATGAGAGCAAAGACAGTCTGGTCTAAAGTCCAATTGAATAAGTGTTTCTACTACATTTCTATAAGAGTACTCTGTATTTGGGAGTGGGGAAGTATTCAAGTGAGCTAAGGAAAGTAATTGAAATCATTTCTTTTAAAGCATCAAACTGATAAAGTCAGAGAATTCACTGGACAACAAGGGACTAGTACACCGTGGGATCCTCAGCCTATATGTCCATGAGACCAGAAGAACTAGTGGTGCCAGGCTACCACTGTCAACCACTAGGGGGCGGGGGGGAGGGGGTCAGTGCAGAAGATCCTGAACAGGAGGGGAGAACAATGCAGAACAAAACTCCAAATCATAAAAAAGACCAGATTTGCTGGTCTGATAAAGCTTGGTGAGACCCCCTGAGACTATGGCTTCTAGTTACCCTTCAGGCCTGGAAAAGAACTCCTGTGGCTTCCAGACAAACAACAGACAGGCCTAGGATGTAAACATTTACATCAGGTAGAGACATTCTTTGGAGCAATCCTGGGAGAACAAAAGGGCAGTGTTTACACAGGGAGATAGCTAGGGGAGTGGGAGAACAAGGGAGGGAAGGACACAGGGAAGAGGTAACTATGGAGAAGAAGTGGGAAGAGAGCTGTTACATAGTGGGGAACTGAAGTCAGTGTCATGAAAAAAAATGTATGAACTGCTGTATGGAAAATGAATTTGCTCTGTAAGCTTTCACCCAAATCACAATAAAAACTATAAAAAAAAAAAAAATTAAAAGGACTCACTGGACAAATAGCAAATGTTCTAGGAGCTGTCCTCCTTCATACAGATCCATATTTTACTTCAAGAAAACAGTTTATTCTTTGCATTAAATAGTAGTCAGAAATTAAAACAGTAGTCAGAATTATAACTATTGGTTATAATATATAACTATTGGTAACACCCAAGCCAAACACAGAAGTAATTTGCAGAATATGTTCTTTGACCAAGAGCACAAAAGCATAAAACTTAGCCCTTCTTTTTCGGCAGGGAGATAAGCTTCTAAAGCTTATGGGGAGCTGATAGAAACATCAATGGATCGAATGAGCAGATGAAGGTCCACACATTTAAGAAAAATGTTCATCTGATAAGAATTTAGGGATAATTTGGAAGAACTGTGCAACTACTTTTGAAAATATGTTTACACGAAAGAGCTGGGTGGCTATTTCGCTTTTCTACAAGAGCTGATGTTGCCAGAACAACCACCAAACTGAGCCATTTTATTTCTTAATAGAATTAACTATTTAGTTCTGTTTTAGAGAAGAAATTACGTTGTCCTTGAAAACTAAAATCTTTAAGAATTCCATTATTTGTATGAATTTCCATAATTCCTTGCATATAGTAGACACTCATCTAATTGTTAAATTAATTTAAACATTTCTTCATTCTTCCTAGTCTCTTTAGGCAATAGTTAACTAGTACTTTCTGTCTTTTCAATGACAGTAAGGACTGATTTCAACAACATCCTGGTGAGAGGATTTCTCAAGATATATATATTGTACAGTCCGTGGCCAGCTGCTGTACCTTCAAGTTCTTCTTTGGCTTCTCTATTTGTTCTGTAAGGTTCTCACCAATCTCCCGACATGCCTAGTCTGTCTAGTTTTCGATCTCCAACTTGAGGGTTAGGTAGGAAAGGAAGCTACCACTTCTCATAGATTCTATTTTCCCAATGTTAATATTTGAAATCTAGATGCATCTTACAATTGATGGGTGTCACAGGTTAACTGGCAATATTTTTTCTTTCTCCAAAGCACATTAAATGGTGTTTTACTGCATTTCATTGAATTAATTCCATCGGTTGTATCAGAAGTCTCACTAGTGGAGAGTTTGACAGATGTTATATCATCTTTGGTAAATAATTAACTGTAAGTTCCCCAAAGATGGCTGGACTCACAGTATTTATGAAAGGATTGGAAAAGGGGTCACAAGCAAGGCAAGTAAGAGCACTGACTGACCTCCTAGTGAAGAGCCTGGATCTCAGGGGAAGGGGTGTGGACAGAGGAAGCACAGAATCTACTGTTGGAAGGGAGCAACAGAACCTCGGGGGCTTATCCCAAAGGCGGTGAGCAGCTAGTGGTGTTGCCTGGCATTCTTTACCTTCTTTTGGGAGAAAGAACCATCCTTTCCTAACTAGAACAGTCACAAAGTGATCAACATCACAAGGCAAAGATACCTTGAGAGAGTATGGCTCCAGGTTTTCACAGAGATAATAGTCAGGGCTATGTTGTTGGCTCCAACTGTGATTCAATGCAAAGACAGTAAGAGAGAGTCCCTGACCTGCCTGCTGGTCTAAAAAATGGCAACAACTATGCTGCCATGTCCATAGGCTACTTCCTGAAACCAACTGCTAGGCCACACCCAGCTTCTGGAAAGTGGAAGCACCAAAGCACTGTAGAGAAATGGGAAGCATATCTAGCTAAAGGGATTGTAACTAGAGAAAGACTTGAAGAATGGCAAATATAAACAAGGGATCAATGTCAACAGTAGCCAAAGAGCTAACACTGTAAGTTTTCAGCCCAAATGCAAGATGGCTTTGTGGTGAGTATAACAGATTATTGGCACTGGAACAGATGGTAGCCAAGATCCATGATTTCATAGACTGGTGGTTACCAAACGTCTTTGATTAGGCACCCCATCAGTTTAAAAAAAACAAAAAAAAAAACTTGATTATACATGTCCCATCTGTGCATATTCGTTCACAAATTATATACATGAACCACTATAATCACATTATAAAACCCACTAACAAAAAAGAAATGAGTAAAGTATCTTCTTCCTTGCAAACCATACTTTGAATACCAGTTATAGATAAGAAAATCGAGACCCGTGAGAGTACAAGAAATCAGAGAGCCAAATTCAGGGGCTCTTCTGGTTACATAATGCTGGTCTGACAAGAATATACCACAAATGGGATGGCCTTAACAAACAGGAGTTTATTCTCTTACAGTTCGGAAGCTTTAAGTCCAAGTTCAAAGTGCCAGGCTCTAGGGGCTGGGTGAAAGCCCCTCAACCTTGGGATCCAGCTCTGCCTCCTGTTCCCAGCTCACTGGAGCTAAAGGCATTTCTTCATTCAGCTGCTGGCTGCTGAGGCTGACAAACCCAAGGTTGACAAGTAAAAAGGCACAGTCCCGATGTTACCAAACCACACGGCAGTCCATTAATTTAAGTCCATTTTAAGTCCCAAGGTCGGCAGAGCATGGCAGGCTACTAAACAAGGACATGGCTACATGCAGAGTCCAAGCGTGCCATAAGCTCGAGACCATTCCCAAAGCTGCTTCTTATATATGGGAAGCAGACCACATACCCAAAGTAGCTACTCAGCTACTTGTGGTAGAGTCCACCATGGAGCTGACTGCCATTCTCATCATGGGGAATAACTACCACCAGCTGCCCAGCTACTCAACCAGGCCCAGCCAAGCTGACACACAAACATAACCACCACGGGGGCTAAACAAGAATACAGATACCCAGATTCCTAATCTAGTGCATTTCCTACTACACAGAGAGAAGTGACTAGCCATGAGAATTTCTTTTGATCTTGGTCACTCTAGGGCTTCAAACACCAGAAAAAGGGCTCCTTAACTGACAAACAGCTCAGACTAGTCCCCAGAAGGGAGGGAACAGAAAAGGATATGTGGTAATGCTCGGCATACAGAACGGCACTGCACAGTGGTTCACACTGTGGGCTAAGGAGTCCAGCAGAGCCAACTCTGAATCCCAGCCTGCTTACAGTGTAATCCAGGCAAGGGGCCTAACCTCTCAGTCTCCATCCTCCTCTACAAAATGGAGACAATGAGTCTACATTAAATGGTTGAGTGATGATTAAATCAGAAAGCATGAGTAAATGTAGTGGTCACACAATAACAACCCAATAAACGAAAAATAGTGTGGAAGGACAATGGCCTTTTGAGGTCTGAATCCTAGGGATGCTACCTGGTAGCTCTGTGATCTGTAGCATTTCATCCCTTCACTTCAGTTCCCTCATGCGTAAAATAAGGAGAATACCTCCAAGTTTATGAAGGTGGTGGTTGTTGTTGTAACATGCTGTCAAGTCGGACCCGACTCATAGCGACCCCTCCTTGGGTTTCCGAGGCAGTATCACTATGGAAGTAGATTGCCCAACCTTCCTTCCAAGGAGTGGCTGGTGGGTTTGAACCGCCAGCCTTCTGGTTAGCAGTCAAGTGCCTTAGGCACTATGCTACCAGAGCTCCTCGTGAAGGCTGTAGTAAGGCTTAAATAAGATAATGTTTATACCTAGTGTGCAGATGCTCAGCAAATATTCGCTCACTCCGCATCCAACTTTGAGAAGCAGAACAGCTTAAGTTCTCTGCTTGCATCTCCATCCAGGAGGGGTGTAATCTGCTGCCTCCTGCCTCAGTAATTTTTTGGACAAGTTTAGCACTAGGGATGCAGGGAGGCTGCTGCTGTCCCAGTGCCTATCTTTACCAAGAGTGATGCACTGGAAAACATCAGCAAAAATGGCAGATGAGGACCTCCAAAAATCCTTTCCTCCAAAAACAGCAATAAAAAAAACTGGTGAGTGTGGTACATACACACAATGGAATGCTATGCAACCCTAAAGAAAAATGTAGAATCTGCAAAACACCGTGTAACATGGATGAACTTGGAGGACATTATGCTGAGTAAAATAAATCAATCTCAGGGAGATTCAGCAAGATGGCGGACTAGGCAGAAAGACCACACAGATGCTCTTCAACAAAGAAAAGGGAAACCAATTAACACAGACACAGAAGATAACCCTGGACCCCTGAGCCTTGAAGGGAAGGATATATAAGTGGACTAAACCCCAACTAGCAGAAGAATTTGCGTGAAAATACCAAAAAAGGAGACAGACGGAGCTGCAGTCTGGCAGCGATCCTGAGTGATC